TTAAAGAGAAAACAAAGTAAACAATAAATAAGAAAATGAAAATAGAAAGAATAGAAGAATAGAGCAATGTGTTATTTTGTTATGCATCATTTACAATTACTATAGAACGTATTAACGTGGAAAAAAATTCTCTTCCATAAGGTTATACCTAATATATCGTGTATACACGATGCATTTCTATCGATTTTTTTTATAATTTATCATGCTGTTATCCATAAATAGAAATTTACCTTTTTACTATTCTATATTACGTGTCTGTTTGGTTGGAAATCTTATCAAAAAAATGAATTCTGCTCATTAGAAGAGATTAGATGTCTTAGTAGTAAAGAGAAGAAAGACAAAGTATCAGACCGTTAATTGCGATCTTCTTAGATTTACATATTACTGTCTTTTCTTTCCATCCTATTTTACTTGGAAATTTTTTTGCTCTAATTCACTTTTAATCTCCAATTTCTTTTGCTTTTTGAAGAAATTATTTATAAAAGTTACATTCTTTCTTCTCTTAACTCTTTCCCCTTTTTATTCTCTTTTCATAGAATATTCTTTTTAAATACAATTAGTCAGAGAAAGATGTTTTAATAGGCCTTTAGTTTTCCATTATTTTCCTTATAATAAGTTGATTAGGCAGTATAAAGAGAAGTAGAGAGAGAGAGTATTTACTTTTTACTTGAACGAGTTGAATAGATTGAATTGCTTTTCGTGTTCAAAGTAATTTTTTATAATTATATATGAATTAATAAAAGAAATATGTAATAGAATTATTAATTAGTTAAGAGATGATAGAGGAAGAAATAGAAGGAGACGAAGAAAAGCAATTTTTATCGTTTGGTTAATCAAGTAAAAAGAAAAAAAGATCGGGTATCCTAATCTTTAACTAATAGAGTAACAAGCGTATTAAATATTCAAGTAAACATTAATTATATAATACTGTGTATACACAGCATAGATAGATATATAATTTATGGTTTTATTTGACATTCTCTACAACTTTACAGATAATTAAACATAAATGAATATATAAATTTTTTCAGATGGCGCTGCTTATACTCAAGTTTTCTAGAACAAAGTAAAGAGTTCATTGCTCTTCGGAAACGCTAGGCGTCTCTAGCAAAACGACGAAATGATTGACAAGCTTTTTATTAAACCCAAAAAAAACTAACTAGATGTCGAAGTGAAGACATTAAATGAAAACTGATAAATTCGTGGGCGAAAAAACTAAACCGTTCACTTGTCCAACTTCACCTTTAGCTGACCTTTTCTACGGCTGCATTTCAGGTTTTTAAAAGTGACAAAGAGAGCAGAAGAATAGTTTCCCTTTCCATTAGAGAAAATTGGTGAAAACAGACGAAAAATTCTCCAACAGGGCGGAAAATGGCCGGTTTCGAAGGGGGGTCGACAGGTGAACAAACAGATCGAATTTTTTTCCCTACCCTCAGCTTAACTCTTTCCCCTCTTCTCTATGCTCATTACCAACGTTTATTCTGCTGCCGGATTATTACATTATCGTTTTCTTTACATGCGCCCCCGGCTTACAGAGTGTATGGGGTCAAGGTCGCATAGTACAAACTTAACGGAATTCGATTCGAGACACGTACGATACTTGTATAGATTACGTTTACGTTCGTATTATTGTGAAAATTTTCGGCTCCTGCAACGATCGAACTAGGATTAAATATAGAGTAGAGACTACAGTTGATTATGTCTTTTCTTTTTTAACGCGTATATTAAGTATAAATGAAAAAATCCTTCAGGATTATTTTGCAGACTTTGATCCATTATTAATCTTGTTCTTGTCGCGACTCGTCCGTATACTATACGGAGTTTTCGTAATTTGTCAATGGTGTAGGCCTAATTTCGACGGTTATATAGGTCTGTCAACATTCGTGCATATTTATTGAACATATTTTTTTTTCGATCAGTAGGAATGCTTACTTTGTTTTGTGGAAAAAAAAAGGTGGTATTTTTTACACATATGCTCCACTATAAAGGAAAAATAGTACACACACTGACGTATATATATATATATATATACACGCGTACATTTTGCATCAAAACCTTAGCTAATCCAAGCGTAAATAAGTCAACGTACTAACTGAACAAGACATAAGATTAGGGAGGGCACTGGGGCTAGAGAAAGGCGAGAAAATGGATGAAACGAAGGAGAGTGAGAATGACGTTGACGAAGTATACGGAGAAGAGGAAGAAGAAGAAGAAGAAGAAAAAGATAAAAAGACGGAGAAAACGACGACGACAACGACGACGTCTATAACAATAATAGTGATAATGATGATGAATAAGAGAAGCGGAAAGTAAGAAAGGGCAAAGAGAAAACTTTATACTACAAAGTTGTCGTCGTCAAGTAATAATTAGATGTAGGCGTATAAGAATGAATTTTTAAACAGCATCTGAACAAGTATAATGTATTAAAAGGAAAAAAAAAACCAGCAGAGTAAATTCTTTAATTATTCAACAAACTTGAGGCCGACGACGACACATTTACTTTCCTACGGAAGCGGCTTCGGTGAAACCCGTATAAAAGCTGATTTCGCAGTAGAAGAATGCGATTTTCGCATGTTTTACTAAATGGGAAAAAGATAGGGAAAGGACTTTTTCTTTTTTTTTTGTTTTTTATTTAAATTGGATACGTTCCATTTAAATATTGAACAAATCCTTTACTCAAAGGAAGGGAGAGGCAAAAGAAATCAAGAAAAATCGTTAAACGTTTCATTTTCTCTTTCCTTTCTTTTAATGTTTTTATTCCAGTTTTACTATCGTCGTCGTCATCATCATTATCATCTTCTTCTTCTTCTTCTTCTGTCTCTTTACTCTTTATTATTAAGCTTACTAAACGCTTATTACAAATAACTTTTCTGAAGTGTACTACTAGAATCGTAAGATCAAATAATGTAGATGTTTTCTTGTAACATTGTAACAGGCTTGCAAAATGCTCCAACATCAAAGATAAATGTGAAAGAGATGTTGAAAAAGGACAGGTGTTTTCTCTTTAGCATCTGTAGGCCTATAACTTACCTTTGAAATTTAGTCAGGGCTGCAAATGTATGAGCTCTACATTTTTTTATTCATTTGTAAAATATAAATATGAAGGGCCGTTGAAATAGAATGCAGGGATAGATAGGAGATGGAGGGCGGGAGGCGGAAAGGCAGGAAGGCAAGAAGAAGGTATGTGTGTATCAAATCTTATATACTGTATATATATATATATATACACTATATATGTATTAAATGTGACGGAATATTTATTTGTGTCTATGTATGTCATGTACATGGTACAGTTAATAGAAGATATATGTCGAGTGCAGCTATAAATAGACTAAAGATGTATTTATATTTATATAGAATTAAAATAGAAAATTAAGATAAAGTATGAGAGTGTAAGAATAGGCCTGAACGTAAATAAGTGAAAAGAATAGATATTTAGTAAAAATGCTTATTTATACGTAGATATATAAACAGTATAAAATATCAATATACTGTATATTATATAAAATATGTATATATATATATATATAGTTTATATACAAACCTATAAGTTTACTGTATGCTTTTCGAATTAAACTTTTTCTATTTTTGTTTTCGCCATTCTATCTAGGAAGGAAAGAGGAAGATGAAGAAGTAAACGAAGAAGAAGAAGAAGAAGAAGAAGAAGAAGAAGAAAGCGGAAGGAAACGTTTTAATTCCATTTTTTTGTTTTTTGTTCTTAGCGCTTTAATAACAGAAAGAAGAAATAATAAAGATTATTCTTACTCTTATCTTTTATTTTTATCTGCGTAGGTGTTCACTTTGTAGTATAAATGAGAATATTTTTTTAAACGACACATCTGCAATTTTATTATTTATCATATATACTATTGATAGTAGTAATGGCCTATATAAGGCAGATGTTCTCTAAAAGAATAAAGAAACAAAAAAAACTAAAGCTTTTGATTATTATTTTAATAGATTTTTATTTGTGTTTTAATTTTATTTATAAAAGTTAAAATATATGAAAAATAATAATTTTTTTTTTACTTTATTACGTTTTGAACAGAATTATTAAAACATTTGAAATAATTCAATATTAATTTATTATTATTATTATTATTATTACTATTATTATTGTTATTCGTTTCAAATCAACTTTAATTCAATTCGATAAAAATTTGTTATGCTTTCTCTTTATTATAATCCTAATAAATCTTTTATTCAAAAGTAATTTCAACATTTTAATTGGAGAGTTCATTCACGTTTTTATGTACTTATGTACGGTATGCATGTATGAATGTGTGTATGTATTCTGACAGCCTATCTGCCATCCCTCTCTCTACTCGTTCAAACAGCTTAAACGAATATATGTATATAAAGATATATATACACATATACTATATGTACTTAACATATATTTTTTCTCTCTATATCTATATTTTATGTACACATTGTAATATTTTGAATCAGAAGAGTGTCATCGATAACGCCTCCGCAAAACAAAGAAGCAAGTATTGCCTAAACTAATATTATAGTTTCTACTGTATCGCCGTTCAATCTGGAAAAGGGAACGTTGCTTTACAAGCGTATTCGTCTATTTGAATAATAAATTACCGATTGAAGGTTAAAACAAAACAAAGGAGAAAGAACGCGAGAGACAAAACGAGAGAAAAAGGGCAAACAGAGAAATGTACTTGTAACAAAATTACTAAAACTCCCTTCCCCCCTTGTAATATGAAGTAATATTGAAACTTTGATCGTTCTTAGTACGACAGAAAATTTCTAAGAGTTAATTACTGTTCGAATGGAGAATAGCATATATTGACTGTTGAAAAAGAAAAAAAAAAGAAAAAAAAGGAAACTAATGCCGACATTTTATTGACATTGCATAAATGCAAATAGTGTAAAAAATATCTACATACTTTTTCATATACACGTATGATTAATTCTATTATTCTACGAACAATCTTATTATATATATATATATATATATATATGTAATTTTTATTTTTAAATACTTTTTGCAAACACATATACTGTATTTATATAAAATATATAGACTTTTGTTCAAGTATAAAATAAAATTAAAAAAACAATAAGAGAGAGAAAAGAAGAAGAAGAAAAAAACTGTGAATAGGCCTTGATTATTATTTTCTTTTCCTTTTTTTTTTTTAATGCAATTAAACAAACATTTTATGTATTTAGTGCATATATTCAAGAAGATTAAATTTTTGGCATTTGAATTTTTATTCTCTTTTTCAATATAATGTATTATTATAAATATAATTTCTTTTTTATTCATTTTTTTCAATAGTTAATAATAACGATTATACTGCTGTTACTGTTGTTGTTTAATATCTCTCTTTTGCAGATTGAAATACTTTATTCTTTAAAAATACAAAAAAAAAAAAAATTGTTTGAATTCTAATTAACTATTCATAGTTTTGAACATTTTTCTTTCATTATTATTATTATTATTAACTTTTCTGTGTTCAAGTAAGAAAGTGTTGTTGTTTTTGTTGTTGTTGTTTTTTGTTGTTAAAACCCTGTTTTATTATCTTTTTTCTTTTATTGAAAAAATGTTGTTTTTTTTGTTCAAACTGTACAAATGCTGATTTCAAAATTCTCATTTCGAAATAAAATCAGAATTCTGCATGCGGGTTTTAGAAAACAATAAAACAATTATTCAATTATTTTAATACTAGAAGCATATAAACAGGTGAAAAAGGGCGAAAATCTTTCTTCTTTTTTTTGTAATTAATGAAATTATGCAAAAATATTCAATTTAAATTATCACCCTTTATAATGAGATGGATATAAGATCGCCAGTCAGCGTAATATCCTCCCGATCAAAAAGAGGTAGAATCTTTTTTTTTTTTATGCAGGATTATCACCGACCACATCGACCGTTTCTTCAGGCGTCTTTTCTCTCTGCCGTAATGAAATACAGACGTCTCCAACGCTTAGACGCCTGCATGTCAGTCCGTAACGTCTATGCGTGGCTTCTGGTTCACAAGAAGACCAAGTCTGGCCAATAACAAAAAATGGATGTTCTATTGCTGCAACAACATTAACCTGAAGAGAAAGAGGAAGATCATAAATATACGTATACGTATAAATGTATAGTATTGTAGGCGTATAAGAAATATGTATTAATATAAAAAAATATTAATCAATTATAGTTTTTTTTTCAAGTGCAAATAAAGAAAAAATATCTCTACACTAAAACAAATTATTTGTCTTTATTTTCTTTATATAAACGAAATACGGTAAAAATAAAATGTGGGTCATTTCATTGGAGGTTTTTTCTTTCTATAAATAAAGCTCTCTCTCTCTCACTCCTTTTATATGCATCGTTTCTACTCTCTCCATCTCTCTATCTCTCTCTCTCTCTCTCTCTCTCTCTCTTCCCTCCCTCTTTCACTCACTCCTTATAATGCTCTGTCTAATAAATAAGGCAAGGGTTTTTATAGAAATTTACAGAATTTTTTCCTAAACGCTTTGCCGTTTCTAAAGCGTATAATAAGAAATTAAAGGTTGTACTATAAATATAAATATATACATATATCTATACTGTTTATATATATTATTTATCGTGTATTTTATTTATACAATTACACTTAGAACGTGGGCGGATCACGATTATCTAATTCGATAGTTAATAGAAGAACTCTTATTGAAGCATTTACTAAGCCTAAATAGAAAATAATTACGTATTTCTTATGCAATGATATGCGTCTTATTCAAAGAAATGTAACTTTCATAGGACGTTCAATTATTATAATAGATTTTCTTCTCCATACTTCAAGGTTCTAATTTTATAGCCTTGTATGTTTAACAATAAACTCTTTTTTTCTCTATTTAGGCTTTCCACATAAAAACCTTTTACATTTCATTCTTTATTTAAAGAAAAGATATAGAAAAAAAGAGGCCTTTCTCTTTATTTCTTCTTAAATTAATTTCATATTTTTTATTGAACAACATAGAAATTTGATTCTAAACTAAATGCTAATTTTAACCTTTTATACAAAACTCTACTGTCGTTAACGTTCTATTAATAAATATTTAATTTTTATTAAGATAGAGTTTAGATTTACTATCTCTTTCTTCTTCTTCCTCTTCTTCCTTTAAACAACCTAAAGTGGCCTTTTGAATAGACTAGCTAAGAGATAAGCTGTATATCGTAGATACAAAACATTGAAAAGGAATAAAAATAGCCGTAAAAGAAAAGAAAGAGTGAAACGAACAGAGAGAGAGAGTGAAAAAAAAAAGTGAGACAAAAACAGAGATAGACGATATATCGAGAAAGAGAATGAGAAAGAGAAAGAGAGAGAGAGAGAGAGAGAGAGGGAAGGAGGGAGGGAGAGAGGCTAGTCTTTTTTTAACACCAGCATATTATACTTATAATAGAAATGAGTAGGGTATAGTATATTTAGAACGTTAGGCTTACGGACTTTGAAAAATCCATTTCATTATGTCTATGCACTGAGAGTAAGAAGGCCTAACATTTTTATACACCAATTCGTCAGTTTAAATGGCATACAATCGGGATACCACTATGATGTATAAACCAGGTCTCTTTTCTACTATTCGCCTATTACTCAATCTCTAGAAATATTGCCTTTTTTTCCAAATAGTCCAATTTATCACAACCACTATATGGCTTTAAAATGATAGAAATAGTACTCGAAAAACTCATAAACTAAGCTCTCTTCTTTTTTTTTTTTACAATTATTTACTATAAATATCCATGTAATAAAAAAAAAACTTAAATCCTCTAACATTACATTAAAAGTGCTTTTTCTTTCTTTTTTGTCTTTTTTCTGCAGTTTCTTTCATGCTATTCTTAGGATTATAGTTTAAGTGAGAGTCTAGAAAAACTATCGATTTTATTCTGATTAGTAAAATTCCCTATTCCTGCCATAGCCATTTGGGAGAATGCTAAGTGGGAAAAATAAAAGAGAGGATAGAGGGATATCTTCAACATTAACGCTAGTGGAGGGTGGGGGAAGGAAGACGTAAAAGATGGGGTGGGAGGTTGGTAGGTCGGCGGGTCGGCGGGTGAGATAGTATTTTAGCGTAGAATTTAATACGAGAAAGATGATCAAGTAACGATATAGTAACCTATAATATTATTATAGAAAACTAGTTAATGGAGACCACAAAAATATGCAAGATAAGAAAAGAGAGAGAGAGAGAGAGTAGGAGAGAGCATATGGAGGAGGACGAAAAGAACAAGAACAAGAAGAACAAAAAGAAGGATACGGAAGGACTGAATGAATGTATGAATGAATGAATGAATACATGAAAGAAAAAGTAGAGCTAAATCTAAAAACCGCACCTTTTCTGCTTCAGTTACAATCAAAATATTATGGCAATACTATATTATATAGGTATGAAAAGCAGAAAAATTGAATGTTATTAGATTACTCTAAGAAAAAAATTCAATAGAGACAAAGAAAATAAAGAGAACGAAACAGAAAAGAGAGAGAGAGAGGGAGACATACATACATACATAACATACATAACATACATACATAGAAAGACAGATTGATAGAAAGAAAGAAAAAGAAATTTACAAGAGTTTAACCCTAATATTTACGATATAAAAAGCCATTCTCTTTATGATTAATCCAACAATTGTAAACAGAAAAGTGAGATCGACGTTGCTACAAACGCGATAATTTGATTTCATATTTATTATCCTATTAACTTGGAAATCCGATAAAATAGAAGAGACTTTAGTTTACCTTGATAGGCCTAATACAAAAAAAAGGAAGTGTAAGAAAATACTAGAACGTATAAATAGTTAAACATATAATAACCACGCTCTTGATTGTAGTCCTACTATTTCTCTAACTTAACGATATAGTAACAAATCGACGACAACACAAAATAAAATCGATTTTTTTTTTTTTATAAAAAATTCAACACAAACCTCAATCCGACTATTTCCAACGCCAAACTTTAATGTAACGACGCTAGACGTCGCACTAGGCCGTTCAATTTTCAAGAGAGTAGATGAATCAACGCTATATTCAGTGGAAAGGTTGGCGCAACTCCTAAAATCCTCTTCTCTTAGATCTTCTATTTTCTTTAACTTACCATCTGCCAATTCAATTATTGAACCTCTACGAAAATGAGCGGGATAAAGTTTATCTTCTTCAGCTTCTACAGCCGGTCTAATAGGGGCTTGAGGAAGAGGTGGAACCCTTTCGTAAGGTCGATATCGAGCATGGCTAAACCTAAGGTGATCGTAGAATGGAGGAGGAAAGGAGGATAGGAAGAGGCGATTATCTAAGTAGGGTGATGTCACGTGATCATGAGAGGTTCGGGCATGCGTCTCGGGTGTCCTTCTCGGTCTCATAGATCTAACGGAGCATTGTTCTGTAGAAAAAAATAAATATCGATATATTGATTTATATACGTTTTTATATAAGGATAAGATTAGATAAACCGATCGAACTGCTGACGTCAGTGAAATTACTGCAATAGTCCAGTAAGCTCATCCTCTCGAAAAATGAGGTTTGGAAGGAGACGCTTTAGACGCCACCTAGACGTACCTTCTCTTTTTCCTCACCGAATATCTCGCCTCTATAAAACGCTGTTCGATATTTTTGCAGGATTCTCGTCTGCACTAGCGCCTCCTAGTGGGGTGGCGACAAACGACCCAGACAGCTGACCTCGATCCAGCGCCACCTGAACAATTACAATCGCTTTACGGCCGCGTAAACAAGCCGTATTTTTTTCCTGCGACTGCAATTTTTTTTGCTAGTAAAGAAAAGAGAGGAGAAGAAGAAGAAGAAGAAAAAAAAAAGACCAGATCGTTTATCTTTCTTTCTCAGCCGCGTCCGAAACGTGATTAATAGCGGCCGACTCGCGCGTTCTTTTCTCAACTGTATATTTTTAATAGTAAAGTCATCTACCGTTATATTTTACCGTACGCAGCTGCATAAAGATAAACAATGGCAATTTGCTTTTCGTCACCATTGACCTAGACGCACTACGACGCGTAGTACTATAATAAGGGTTCTTAGATCATGTACTGCAAAATTTCACAGTTCTTTTCACTGGTACACAATAATTTTTTTTACAAACAAGCCAAGGTGTATACCATTTTGCCTTTTTTCACCTCTGACCTCTATATATACTACGTAGTACGATCCATCTGCAACAACTGCAAAAAAAAAATCTGCAATGTGGATATCTGTCGGTCAAGATATTACATGCACTCGTTTGCAGCATCGATTATTTTGCGTTCGTGGTCTGCTTATTAATAAATAGATTTTTTTTTCCAGTTTAGACTTTATTGAATTTTTCTTTCCCTGTAGTTTTTTCCCCCTCCCCTCAACTTTAGGATGATTGACCTTGTTATAAAGTACAAAGAGATAATCCCCTTACTTCGAATTTGCTTCTTCCTACTTTCTAAATAATCAGTTGTAGTAATAATTGAAAAGTTATGAGTAATTTATTAATTAAAACTTGGCAGACTGTGGTGTATATTATAGATTTTAGGAAGACTTTTCTCACTGTTGAATATGTTGAATATGCTGTATAGCATATTTAAAAGGTCTACGTACAGTAAACATTTCAAAGAATATAATATATATTAATATATAATTTAATATATCTACTATACTGTATATAAATACTATATATATATATATATACTCTATACGTATCTTCTGTTTTGCTTAGCTGCCTCTTAAAAATAGAAAATTGCTTATCTATCCATTCAGTTTAACAATGAACCGTTGAATATTGGATTGATTATAGAATTTGTGTCGCCCACATATAATTTCCATATTTTGTTAGGACATGTAATAAAATGTACAGAAATCCATCCTAAAATATCCCTTTAACTTATACCATAGTCTGTAAAGGCCTATAAGCAGAAAAAAAAAATAAAGAAAATTTTCCAAGCCAAGTCATGAACGGCTAAAGTGTATTGTCTATATTTTATACGTTGTACACTAAACGATGCATTACATTGTATGAGAAGGAAGAGAATCGCTAAACAATCTTTCTTAATATAGCTTTAAAAGACTTGTACAAATAGGCGAGTACAACCGCCTTATGAAAAAAAAAAATCAAGTTCATATGACATATAAAAGAAGAGAAGAGAGAGAGAGAGAGAGAGAGAGAGAAAACTACGTCTCACCTATTTTCTAGCTTGTAAAATATTGGTTGAAAGGAAAAAAAAGAAAAAAAAATCTCTTTTAATTTGACATAAATCCCCTAGTTTATTCAACTGACCTATATTTACTATATTATGAACAGTACTAGGCTACTCTTTCATTTAAACAACGTATTGACGTATGATAATAAAAGAAGTGAGAGAGAGAGAGAGAGAGAGAGAAGGAGTAAAATTATAAAAGAACTAACGAAATCTATTCAATCTTGTTCATGGAATTGAAACAAATATAGTTTTAATTTCAAATACGAAGAGATGTGATTGTTTATAAAAAAATTGCACATGTTTTTCATTATGTTGATTGTGTATTTCTGCATTTTTTATTGTATATTCAAAGTCAGCAAATCGTCTATATAATAGGTTCTACTGGTTTTATATACACTTGCATTAATTCATATATTAATAGTATTTTTGTTTATATAATTTATACATATATTAATGCAAAGTATATACGCGATAGTATACTGTATAGTAAGGAAAGGACAATTCTCATTTGCATATGAAGGGTCAATATCCTCTGACAATAGTCCTTGAGAAAAGCAGATCGAATCTAAACTATTACGCTTCGTTTTTTATGGTCAATTTTTATCGATCGATCAACTCAATAGTACTGATTAGCTGGCCGTCCAGAATTTTTAAGCTTATTATCACGAAGCAAAAGGAAAAATGTAGGCAGAAAATATACATTCTCTTTTCTCTTCACAGAGAAAGAAACTAAAGACGAGTATGGTTCGTAGTAATTGACGGAAACGGCAAAATATTGTATAGGATATTGACCGAAACGGAATGAATATAATGGGGCTTTTTTTTTCTATTTCATAGAAAGAGACTTATTATCACCCAACAGCTGTTTGGATATTTTAATTAAATACGATGTGTGGGTTTAATTTTCAAAAATTTCTAATATTCAATGTCATATTATTACTCCAGTAATTCAATTCCCTTCCTGATCCTTTGCCTTTCCTCCTTCCTCTCTATCTATCTATCTTTCTATCTATCTACCCACAGCCAATTCCTCCTTGACCTTTTTCCTCCCTCTTTCCCCCTTCAGCACCTCCCCCTGCTTTCCCACTCTCTATCCCCTCTCTCATTCCTTCTTTCATTCTTCTTCTTCTTCGTTCTAATCCACCCACTCCGCCCCTCCCTTTTTTTTACTCTCGTTTTTTTTTGTTGCCTAGTAGTCGTAAAGACAAAATTACAAGATTTTCCTTTTGCAGAAAAAGGGCAATAGATGGCGTATTTCTTTTAATTTTATCATGCAACTTTCCCTAAAGATGTTATAATTGCAAGAAAGAGAATTCATTCTATTATACTATAAACGCTTTAAAAGGTTGAAGTAAGCGGAAAAGGAAATCTTTAACAGTTTGTCCTTGTCCCCATTTAAGTTGAGAGAGAAAGCAGAGAAGAAAAAGCAATTATCGGTTTCTTTTTATATAATATAATAATAATAGTAATAATACGAGTAATAAGAAAGGGTAAAGGATATATAAATATACATATATATATATATATATATATATATATATATATGTATCATTTACCATAACCTAGGAAGACGACATAAATAAACAAATATAAACAAATACACAATGAATAGCGATTATACATAAACTGTGTGTGTATAGTATAGAGAATATGTTATATAACTTATTAATACAAACCAATAAAGGTAATTATAACGTTTAGGAGAAACGGATTGTGGTTAAATCTCTCTATACATGTGAGGGAAAAAATTACGATCTGTTTTGTTTTAAGTGAAAAATCCAAAGTATCGTCAATTAAGGCTAATAGTGGCTCTGCTCGATTGTACCCTCTTCCCTAATTACGTTAAGTCGTTACTTTTAAGGTATTTGTATATATATATATACTGTACTGTATATACAGTAAGAAATTAAATACCTTTAGCTGAGTTTTGTAACTTGTATTTTAGATTAAAAAGAAGAGGAAATCTCCTTCTTCTTCCCTTTTATTCCAACCTTTTTACAGCGTACTTTTACCAACTGACCTTTTCTTAATACTTAACGTATCAATTAAGGTTTAATTGATTATTTGTCGACATAGTTTTAATGAAATTTTTAACAACAATTTCCTTCTATTGATCCTTTCATTAGTTTTAAAAAAAAACATTCTTTATAAGACAGTAAAAAGTTCAAGGAATGAAAAAATATACTTTTTTTTCCTTATTTTCTTCTTATTTTCATATCATATATAAAATATCAATTGTCTATTTAAGGTTGTATATACGTTAACTATAACATGACCTAGAAATTTCTTGGTATAGTACATGTTGTTTTCATAAGAAACAATACAAAACTGTATTTATTATTAAACGAAGAGAAACTAGAGCTACTCTATGACCTTTACTTAAAGAATTCCTCTCCTTATTCAGGAGAAAAGCATATATATACTTTAAAGTGTCTATTCTATGTGTGCTTTTTACCTGGGACTTTGCTGATTCTACTTTTTCTTCTTTCTAGGACAAAGTTTATTGAACGCGGTATGAATGTTTTATGTAATATGAAGGAAAAAAATTCAATCCATTACGATATAAGTAAACATTCTATGGACAGAGAGAGAGAGAGAGATAGAGGGAAGAAGGGATGAAGGAATGAAGAGTTGAGGGGAGGGAGTGAAAAGAGGAAAGAGAGAGAGAGAGAGAGAGAGAGAGAGAGAGAGAGAAAGAAGGCGATAGATTTATATATATATAAATTTATATATATATATATATACTGTATATAATAGCAATGCCATCTAACGGTAAAGGTGCGCAAACTTAAAAATCTCTTTTCAGCTTCTTTTCCCATCAGTAAATTAATAATATTAATCTTGGATGGAACAGCTGTAACTACTTTTAAACCATGCCAAGTTTCTATCTGAAACCTTGTAATATTTATCACAAATATTCGTTCTTTTGACTATCAGTTTTCCCGCTACTCATCTACTACGTGCAAAATTCTTCTATTTATAAACAAATAGACTTTTCCATCTTTAGTTTAGTTTCTTTCTCTTTCAAAAAGGAAACAAAATATTATTAAAGAAATAAACACCAAATATGAATTCTTTATATCTTCCTACCAACTTTTACTAATCTATTACTATTTATTAATAGATTATTAATAGATTAATTCTGTTCCAACTATCGTTTCCTTTTTATATTCGTGTACTCATTTCATCTTTGGCAAACTAGTCAATTTAACTTTTTACATATACCTAGAATAAGACAATTGTGCATATTATTTTAGTTTTACTTTTGGTCTTCATTTCTCTATTCTTCTTTCTTTTAGTTTTGTAAGCCTAGTGCGCTTCTTTTCTTCATTATTCTTAACAAAAAACATAAAGAACAATAAAGAAACCTAATTTATCTTTTATTACGTTTGACCTACTTAAAAAAAATAATAATTTTTTTAACCAACTACAGTTTCTATTCAAAATTCAAGTTACTTTCTGGAAGAGAAAGTACAAAATTTACATTCAAA